GGGGGGGGCATTGTTATTCCACTTGGAATGCGTACACTGCATTCCGTCTCTCCCGTGTGCCGTTCCTGTGTGGACCGTTCATCCTGTGCAGTTCCACCACCACCACCACCCAATACTCTGCGGTGTGCTGGGAGGCACACATCATTCTCAACGCCACCATCATCGTCATCATCATCATCATCGCTATTATACTAGTAATGGCTATTGCTGGTACCACTAATACAAGTAGTATTGCGCCTTGTCAGCTTGGCTTACCTTTATGCCGTACATGACTTCACTACTGGTGGATTTTTTGTTGCATTGTTGTTGTTCACTTTGTCGCTCATTTGAATTTGCATGAGCTGCTCCACTTGGGCGCGAGGGGGTGAGCTTCTGCTGGTGGTGGTGGTGGTGATGATTAATGATGATTTTTGTGCAAGGAAACTCCAAAAAAAAAACATATTTAAAGTTGGCGGAGAGAGAGTCATTGTATTGCACACTTCTCCCTATCATGATTTCTTTATTTCGTATCTATGCCTTCCTTTTGCTGCTTCACATGTGCTGCTCTGTCTCGTACACTGTGCGTTTGTGACTCCTCTTGTTTGGGATTCTCTTCTGTTGCGACTCGCGCTCATACCTCGTCATTAGTTCCTTCCACGTGCATACTGTCCTCACATGCGGGCAAATGGTGTTCTGTGCTCACGGCTCGGTGCCGCCGCCGCTGCTGCTGCTGGTGGTGTAGTCTCCCCAACCCCCTGCATAATGCGGGCCCCTTCAGATTGCGGCGGAAATAGAAACGTCATCACCGGCGCCAAGAGCAGTCACAATGCGCTTCTGCATCCCCTGCAGTGTGCGTCGCCGCAGCACATCCGTCCGCCGCCGCTGCGCAGCAGTTTCATTGACCGCAGTCCCGCGTGGGCCTCCTTCAATAACAACCACAACGTAAAATCCTTCCGCCGCCGCATGATCGCCAGCGCCGATGTCTCGCAGCGGCCGCTGCAGTTTCATCTGAGCGGTGAGGCAGGCCACAATGATGCAACGCCGTTGCAGCAGCAGAAGCAGTGGCTCGCGACGGGTGTGGCAGTGGGATACGGCGAGCGGCTAGAGGAAGTGAGTGCGCGTTGGGCGGCGAAGTTCTACGGGCAGGTGACGTTCGGCCCGCGCAACTACCCGTACCCGTCCTCGCGCTGGCTGGCGCGGCGCTTCAGGATGAAGAAGCACAAGGTCATCAAGCGCTTCCGCTTCCGCCGGTACAAGCTCGCTGCTGTTGCCAATCTGCCCTTTGCGAAGATGATTCGCGTCGGCATGCTGCCAGAGCTGAAGAGCAGCAAGACGAAGAAGGGCGACATTGTCGACGCGGATCTGACGGGGCAGCTCGTCAGTGCGGTGCGCAGCTCCGGCGGAAAAACGAAGGGGCACCGCGGCCGGCCGAAGTCGAAGTATCAGGTGTAGCGTGTGTCACGCGGCGCGGCACACCCACAGAGAGAACGAGGAAGCATGCTGCTCCCGTCGCAGTGATGGTGTTTTAGGAAGGTGCACACACACACACACACACACACACGTGCACACTCAGTGAGGGAGGGTCAGGTGTTTGCGTGTTGTGTGTGTGTGTGTGTGTGTGTTGGCAATGCCTCTGGGGCACAAATGCACTTCTGTTGGGCTCCCGATGGATTCAAATTCGCTCCTCGGAGACACACTCAAACGCTTCTTTCGTCCTCTCATGACTCCACCCTGAAGGAACAGAACAGCAGCGAAGGACGCTGATGGTTGTTGTTGCTGGTGCTGCTGTTGGGCCGTGGCAGAAGGCACTCGCACAGCTGCAGCAGCGGACGTGGGGCGTTGGCCGCGTGCCGTCGGTGCAGCAGTGGCTGGATTTCTTCGCAGCAGCAGCAGCAATGACAGGAGCAACAATGACAAGAGCCACAGCTTGCACACCGCCCCCTGCGATACGCACGGCTCATACGCAGGGTGCCAATTACACACCACCGTTGCCGCGGCAGGTGTCTCTGTTGATAGCGGAGAGCCTCGTCGACGCGGCGAGGTTAGCGCGTCTGCAGCAGCTACTGTTGTCGTGTTCGACTCCAGGGGTGCTTCAGAGTGGGCTCGGCGAAGTCAGCGATGACGACGGCGCCCGGCGCGACGACAACAAGGATAGTAGCAGTAGCAGAGAGAGTCGCTTCCTCGCTGAGTGTGTGCCGGAGGACGTCAGTGGTGTGTTTCTCTCCGCTCCCCCACACGACGCAGCGGCGGAACTGGTGGAACTCCTCTTCCACTGGTGCGCCGCACACGACACCCCGCGCGACGCTGCGCAACTGCTGAAATGGCTGCACGAGGTGTCGGCGCTTCTTCACTTTTTCACGCTGCACCCGCTGCCGCAGAACGCGACGGCGCGGCCGTGGCGACTGTGCCTCGCCTACACGGAAATGCTCTCTGCATTGCATCGCGCACTGTGTACGATTTATCTCCGGCCCCAGTCGTGGGCGGCGAACGACAACAGGAGCGAGGAAAAGGAAGCCGTGCCATTTGAGCAGGATGTGGCACTCCTCGCGCTGTGGCTCCTGCGCGAATCGATGCGTGGCGCCACTGCTGCTGATAGTTCCCTCTCCCACGCCGACACGCTGCAGTTAACGCAGCGGCTGCTCGCCTCACACACCGAAACGCAGTCTTGGCTACTGCAACTCCCTGCGTTTCTCCGCGGCACCTGCGGCGGCAGAAGCGGTGCGATCATGAATGGGGTGGATCTTGATGGCATGCTGGCTCGCAGTTCGCTGTGTCAGCTCGTACGCCAAGTTGTGATGCCGCCTGCATCGCTGGGTGTGTCGCCGAATGTGTGCGTGCCATTTATTGCGGCACCCGCGGCGAGGGACACGGCCGTGGTGCGCGCCATGAGCGAGCAGCTCAGCCGCATTGCGTCTGGTGGCTAAGGGTTGAAAATGGAAGAATACGCTATGTGGTGTGCGTCTGTGTGTGTTGTTGTTGCTGTTGTTGTGGCGTTGCTATTGTTTCTGCTGGCGGTACTGTTGTTGTTGTTGTAGCTTCGCATGGAGGGAGGGGTGGAAGGCAATGCTTCTCTCTCTCTCTGTGTGTGTGTGTGGGTGGGGCACTCGTTCAAGCTGTCGCTTCTGTCCTCTGCCATTTTCTTTTTTTGTTGTTGTTGTTGTTCTTTCGTTGCCTCTGTGCAATCACTACTCGTAAACGTGAAAGACAGCGAGTTATTTCGCATTCGGTCTTTTAAGACCACCCACACACANGCCCCAAACGTCCACACACTCACACACACAGGCACAAGGTGGCTAGTGGGAGAGAGGCAGATGCAGCTGAGCCGCCCTTGTCTCTTCCCCGCCTTCACCGTGACGGTGTGTCTGCTGGCGCGCGCCGCCAGAGGCCGTCTTCCCTCTAGTACTGCGTCTGCTGCTGCTGCCGCCGTTCCTGGTTCGATGCGGCCTGGCAGCTTGGCGGCGTTCCATCCTGCCATTGCGCATTCGTGGCTGACCGCCGCCGCGAACAAGTTGCTGCAACCGCAGCACGTCCTTCCGACGAGCCGAAAACTTGCGTGGTGGCGCTGCCCTCACTGCAGCTACGAGCACAACAGGCGCATCGACCTCCACGTGGCGGCTGGTGGCGCATGCCCGAAGTGCAGCCGCATGCCGACACTTTTGCGCGACCGCGGCGAACAGGCGGCCGGCGGGGGCGCCGCGTTGCATGTGAAGCACCGCTGCCGCCCCGACAACGCGCTTGCAGTGCTGGCGGCGCCCAACGCAAATCGTGTGAAGAGCAGCATCGCTGACGACGGCTACCTGCGCGTGGTGGAGAAACGCAACCTGCAGCCGATGCTCGCACGCACCTACACGAAGGAGGCGAGGCGGATTGGCGAGAATGACGCTCTCTTCGTGTCGCCAAAACTTGACGGTGTTCGCTGCGTTGTCGCATGGAATGCACGGGAGCAGCAGCTGTGCTTCTTCAGCCGCTCTGGTACTCTTTTCGAGTGCTGCGACCACCACATTGAGCCGATGCTGCAGCCGCTCTTTGTGAAGGACCCGCTGCTTGTGCTTGATGGTGAGCTGTACAACCACGGCGTCGACGACTTTGAGCAGCTCGTGTCGGCCATCCGCACCTCGCGGGAGCGCCGCACACCAGCGGTGGCGCGGCAGCAGGAGCAGCTGCAGTTCCATGTATTTGACATCATGTACGCAGGCACGCTGCCAGACATGTCCACTGTGCCCTTCTCACAGCGGTATTCACACCTCCGCAAACTGATAGCGACGCTCACTCCACCACGTGGCCAACGACACAGCAGTAAGGCAGTACAATTAGTACCTGCAAAGCCGGTGAGGAAGACCGAGATTGAGCGCGAACTTCAGCTGGCGCTGGCGGATGGATACGAAGGCATTATTGTTCGTTGCGATGGTACCGTTAGTGAAGCCGACAACAGCAGAGGAAAAAGGAACAAGAGCAGTGGTAGTAGCGGCGGCCGTGGTGGTTCAGCCACAGTCGGCTACGCCTATGGTGCCCGCTCACCGAACCTGCTCAAGTATAAACTCATGCAGGACGACGAGTACGTCATCGTCTCGGGGATAGAGGGCCGCGGCAAGTGGAAGGGTTGCCTCGGCGCCTTTGTCTGCAGCACGAAGGGCGGCCACCTCTTCACCGTGGCGCCTGCCACGACGGAGGAGACGAAGAAGAACATGTGGCGGCGCCTCACACAGTACAAGGGGAAGCTGTTGACGGTGCAGTACCAGGAGTTGTCGGCGAGTGGCGTCCCACGATTTCCTATTGGGAAGTGCGTGCGGGGATCGAAGGGGGGAAAGGACTGGATCTGACGCCCACCTGTTGCTGCTGTTGTGGTTGTCGTTGTGGTGGTTGGCTTATTCGTCTATGGGCGATGCCTCTCCTTGTTTGGTTCTTTGTGTGTGTGTGTGTGTGTTTCTTTTTTTGTTGTTGTTGTTTTTTCGTCTCTGTACCACACCATACGCTTGCTTCGTTTTGCCTTCACAGTTGTGTCGTCGTGCAAGGAGGGGAACGCGCAAGCTGGGCGAAAACAAAATTGTACGGCATTTCACTCTGCATTGCAGACACTCATGCAAATATTTGGTGCGTGAGTTTAAGAGGGGGGGTGGGTGACGCGCATCTTCACGCAAAACGGGGTGGGCAGAAGTGGCAGGTAATGGCAGCCAATGTCTCGCCCTCTAGAGCGCTTAGATCGAAGACGCGGTCCCCCTCCCCCTTGTCACGTCACACAGTTATTGTGCTTCACTTGTACCACTTTCTTTTTCAAGACTCACGAAAAAAAAAAGGTAACCGCCACGTACCATGGTTGCTATGCTTCTACTACTCTTGCTGTTGTCGCTGTTACTGCTGCTCTATGGGTTGCGTTCTATTCTCCCCTGTTCTCTCTCACTCTCTATATAATATATTTATATCACACTCACTCGTTTTTACAGTGTAGGAATAGGAACACAGCAATGTGGCGCCGGTGCTACTTGCTGCTGCGGGACACGTCGATGAACCCGTCGCTTCTCCTCGGCATGGGCCGTACCCGCACACGGCAGCAGGCAGAGCGCTACCAGGCGCTCAAGAACACAACGATACAGGCCGCCTTTCCGCACCTCGCCGCCTGCTGGGTGGGCCCGTGCTGGGGTACCGTGATGGTCACGCCGCATCACATCTCACCGACGTGCATAAGGATGGCGGTGTGGCGCTGTAGCCAGTGTCTGCAGGAGTTTGAGATGAGCATCGCCAAGTTCGTCGACCAGCACGGCGTTTGCCCGCTCTGCAACAAGCCACAACGTCAGGCTGAGACACCGGAGAAGGCGAAAAGTGATGACGGTGAGACAGGGGGGATCGAGAATAACGACAAGGCGCCTGCAGCCGCATCATCATCATCATCATCATCAGGTAACGACGTGTACCTCAAGGCGCCGCGCATGATTCACTCCAACTACAGGAGCGTGCTGCATAGCAATCCGGAGTGGGAGGGGCGTAACATTCAGCCCATGCTAGCACAGAAGTGGGAGGCAGTAGTGGGGCAGCTCACAAGCGCTGGGAAGGAGAAGAATGGTGAGCCGCAAGAATTACTCCTCGCCTCGCCAAAGATCGACGGTATTCGCTGTCTCATAGGTTACAATGAGCGGCGGAAGGAGCCGCAGTTCTTTTCCCGTGGTGGCATTCTACTTGAGTGCTGTCACGGGCTGCTTCCGCTCGTCATGCCGCTCTTTGAGGCGGACCCTACTCTGGTGCTGGACGGTGAGCTGTTCGCGCCCAAGTGCAACTTCGAGGAACTTAACGGACTTGTGCGGCGCCTCGAAAAATTCACGACACCGGAGATGCGGGAGAAGCAGGCGCAGCTTCTGGAGTATTTTGCCTTTGATATCATGTACTCCGCTCACCTTTCAGCGTCTAATGCCCCTTTTGGCGAGCGGTATCGTCTTCTGAAGAAGTTGATCCCCGTCTGCGGGGCCCGGCGCATCAGTGCATACCAGCACGATGCGGAAAAGCGGAAGATCATCCGCGCCAAGAAGCACACTGACGCAGCAGAGGGGGCGGTGAAGCTGTACCATGTCCCCGCCGCGCAGGTGAGTGCGGAGGAAATGGACGAGGTGCTAGAAGAGGCGTGCTCGCAGGGCTTCGAGGGCGTCATGATTCGCCGCCCGAGTTTTCCGTACGAGCATGGCAAGCGAAGTTTCGGTCTGCTGAAATACAAGACGATGCACGACGCGGAGTACCGCGTCGTCGACTTCCTGCCGGGGCAGGGCAAATTCAAGGGCTGCCTTGGCGCGTTTGTGTGTGAAACGAAAGATGGTATCCGCTTCAACGCCACGCCGAAGGCAACGCATGAGCACCGCTTGGCGCTCTGGAATAAGCGGGAGAAGCTGCTTGGGCAGTACCTCACGGTGCAGTACCAGGAGTTGTCGTCGCAGGATGTGCCGCGCTTTCCAATCGCCAAATCGGTACGTGGAGCCTCGGAGGATGAGTGGATGTAAGGGAATGCGGAAGAGCGAAGAAGGAGGAGGAAGGGCGAAAATAACAGGGAAGGCTTGAAGTGATTTGCGGTATGTGGGTGGTGGGGGGTTATCGTGGCATGGAGAGAGTGGCTGTGGACACACGCAAGCGAGTGAGTTAACAAATGAAAGGCGAGAGATACGCGGAGTAGACGACGAACCAAAGGATAAGGAAGTAAGAGATTCTCCTGAGTTTCTTTTTTGGTTTAAGTTGCCACGACTAAAAAGCATGCGCACACAGTCCAACCCCCCATGGATGCTAAAAACGGTGCAGTACCTAATTACCGCGCAGTGATGATGATGATGATGAGGATGGCGATGGGCATTCCAATCATAGAGAGAGAGAGAGAGAGAGAGA